ATGCTTAACATAGCTTCACGGTGATAAAACAAGCGTGGGTGTCCGAGCGGCGAAGATGTCGTTCAGTTCACCTGAAGCGATGTACGCGGCAAGCGCTGAGGTTGCCGAGAAAATCGTCACCTGTGCAACAACATAGCCAGACTCGGTTTTGTGGCTTCGTGAAACTGCATCTCCGAAGAAGCCAAACAAACAGCCAACTAGCAGGACTAATTCTGCGTGATTCGCGGAAGCTTTTGGAAAGGTTGGGTTGGAATGGTTGGAAACTAGCTCATTGCTCAGCTGATCGCAGCTGATCTCAGCAATTCAGCTGCCTCAGAGTTGACAAGATCCTCGATGTGCAACGTGTCGATGATGGGCTTCATTGATGGATCCAAGGGGCCTCTCGGCCTGAGTCGAACGTTGTAGCTTCGCAAGCATCACAGGCTGTATGGTTTGCCTTTTTGCATCAGGACTTGTGCAATCGCCTGAACACCCGCCATGGAGACTGGAAACCCACAGCTGCTCTTGTCTCCAATGCTTGACTCTAAGGCGGGCAGCTGAAGCAAAAGGTTCGAGTCGAGATAGAGGATCATCACTGGCATGGCGAGCCCCATTCCGAAAAGGATCAGAAACCTGAGGTCTCGCAGAGCGTCTCGTCGATTGCTTGCAACGAAAACACCCAGGGGTGGGACAAGATGGTAAGCGCCGCAGTCACCAGCTGAATGTTCTCCTTGGTCGACGGGCCACGTTTACCAAACCTGGTTTCCGCAGTCCGGATGGAAAAACTGGTATCAAGGTTGGGTGAGCAAGGAAGTCTTACTCGCATCCACTCTGCCCAAGCCGCTGTGCCGAACCAGCGCGCGACCGCTGGGCGCGCAACCTCTTCGCTCACAGCATCCGAAGTTTCCGGCACCTGGTCGGCGCGCGCACAACATTTACTGGCTGTCATGAGAAAATAATCACTTCCCCCATTTATTAAATGCCCCCCTAATTATAAAAATGCATCGGCCTAAATCTACCCAGAAT